ACTTTTGTCAATCCATTCCGCCTTGGATTTGTCACTTTCTCCAAATTAAAGTAGAACTGGGTACTGAAGACTTCTGAGGTCTAGCAGAAGTGCTCGAATGTAAAATTCTGATGAAGTATACATTTATTAATGCACGGTGTTCAATCACAATGGCAGACATCCGCAGAAAAACACAGACGTCTGCGTCGGTAGGAGGCGAAGAACCCACGCGGTGTGGATGACTGGTGAAAGTGACTGAACATTAGTTTGTTCAGAAGAGCACCAAGTCCGCAGCTCTTCACTGAGTTTTAGATGTTTCACACGGCAAGTGAGACGGCGTGCTGCTCAAGTCCATTTGAATCCATTGGCAGAGGAGCGTTTCATTGATTTTAATGGGGCAGTAAGATGTGCAAACATGAGAGGAGACACGGGGGAGATAACCCAAGCAGTATTCTTGTGCGCTATTCCCAGAAGTGTGACTTAATTCACTCAGCAATCACAGCACCAGAAGTTTTTGCAGTGTTTTTCATCATCAGCGGACGGGAAGAAAAAGCTTGCTCCTCTTTGGGCTTTATACGACAAGGAGTTCTTCCGCGAGATGGAAATAGATCATGAAATACAGAAACCGAGATGATTTCCAAGTCACACAGCCACTTACAGCGTGAAGGAACACTCGACGACGTGCGGCAATGTCAAACAGTCAGAAGTGGAAGGGATGGTGAATAGTGACAAGATAATTCAGAGTGTGTAAGACATCTAAGACCGGCAGCAGACTTGTTCACATTTAACAAGTAGGCTTCAGGCGAGGGAAGGGGAAAATGTCGATCTCCTTCATTCTGCCACAAAATATCTCGTTAACTTGGAAAGAAACAATTCATATTTTTAATATCAGGGAAATACCACCCACAGTCATCCTCTACGAGTCACCTCCTGGGATCTCAGGAGTTTTGTTTGCCTTCGTGAAGTGCCTCACGTTTGGCAAAAGTTAGGCTGGAAAGAGATCTCAACTGTTCCGTTAGACGTGAAACAATAGCACCAAGCTCTGGTGTATATTCACTCCGTGCAATTGTGTATTTTGTGTTGTTTTCCTGTATTGGAGCCATCCCACAGGCTGAATTAATGAAACATGCATGTCCAGTCTGCCTCTTCTCAACAATGCATCCTGGCCTCACACAATGAGCGCACACACACAAGCTTTACATGTACAGCAACACCTAGTGGACCGCATTTGGAGTTACATGATACATATGGAAACTTAATTCATGTCATTTCGTTCATGTTCGTGCATTTCTGTTCATAACCCGTGTTATAAGATGAAACGTTGTTAAGATACCGGCGGCAGCCTGCTGCTTTTTTTTTCCCCCTAGTAGCACATTGCAGATAATTAGGACTCTATTTAAAGAGGGGCAGCACAGGAAATACACAGGAGAACCTCACTTCATTAAAAATCAATTATGATAACACACGTGTCAGTGTAATATAGTCCTCATGGCCACAATCAACTACACACACACACACACACACACACACACACACACACACACACACACACACACACACACACACACACACACACACACACACACACACACACGTGCAGAGTTAACAGCACAGCTATCCGGCCTTGTTATTTCTAAAGTTGTCTTTCTCTTTCTCTTTCTCTCATGAGCTTGAGACTGATCCTCCTCTTAGCTGAGGAATCGCCAGCGTTGCAGTCCTACTGTTACATAACAACCCCAGGATAAACACTCACACTCCCGCTGGCCAACAGAGCTGTCATTCACTCTGACGCTCAGGTATCCTCCCCTCTGTGTAGAGGAGCGCTCAGTAGGTGCAAATTATCCTCCACTTGTGCTACTCCGTTACCTCCTGATCTACCTTCCACAACAAAATTTGACAGAAGTTTCCTTGGTCCATGCCACACTCGCCATCAGAAAGTTGGCAGAAATAGGGCACAATTGGGCCTCCCCACCTAAAATTTAGAACTGAAGAAGCCTTTTGGATTAAAGGCGAAATGCCTTCAACAAACAAGATTCCAGTTGCGTCCATTTAAACTTTGTGGCTAACTATGAGCGGGCTGACTGAGAATCTACACATATCACAGGCAGTCTCGTTTTTACATAATATCGCTAACTCGGAACACACAATAAAAAAGACCGGAGGATTTTTTTTTTGTTACACCAGAAGCCCGTTGAGAGAGGCTAGACGTTTTGCCTTAAGTTTTTTGATGTAGAAATTCACTAAGTTTATGAAAACATCAGTAAATCTTTTCAAATACACACAAACCACGGGTTGAGCACACAAAAAAAAATCTCAATTCTGCTCTAATCCTTCAGTGCAGCTGAGGTATAACGGGCAGAAAGCAAGTATTGTCTACTCAAGGAAGAAGTGGGAGTCCTTTGCTTTAGCAATTCGTAAATCCTCAGCAGCCGTGATAGAAAGAGACGGGATGGGGGGGGTGGGTGCAAACAGGACACTCGGTGACATCACTTCCTTTAAGAGTGTGACAGCTTCGCACATCATTGCTGTGACAGCCAGACGAGTGCAGCGAGTGGGTGGTCACCCTGGCAACGGCAACGCTGTCATGACCGTATCTCTATATCCTACCTGACAGTCCCCGCTGGCGATGAGCACATCACATGCACACGGTCGACAATGCGCACACCCACACACACATTTGCAAACACGCACACGTGCCATACACGTACTTCACTTTTCTTCTCTCTTTATTTGTGGGGAAACTCTACCGAAACACAAACGCTCGGTGAAACAATGCTCATGCCCACACGCCTGTGCTCCTTTGGGCATAATTATGTCGTACAAAGAGGAGTACCATCTCCCATGGGGTAAGCAGACATACAGTGAATACATAGATAGACTGTAATCGCCGGAGCGGAACTGTTAACACATGCTCATCTTGGGTAGGTACAAACATTTGCTGGAAATCACTAAAAACTTTGAGTACGTACGTATGTATCCACATCACAGCGGCTAATGCGGGCATAATAAACTCAATCATAGGTAAGGTCAGAGGATTGGAAACAGCAGGCTTTAACGTGGATGAGACTATATTTGTTGCTAACCAGTCTGTAACGGTCCCAGACACAACCCCGCCCGTTGACAGGCCTTACGGGCTGTGGTCGTTGACTTCCCCGTGCATGTGTCGTCTGCTCTGACCCATTTTAGAGCCAGTTGGACAGGAATGGGTGGAAATGGGTCAGGTCTTGAGCTACACCACAACTCACAGCCTGAGTGGTGCTTGATTTAGTAAAAAAGTGTGCAGCCCTCCATCATTGCTTCACCCACAGACTAACAAGTACAAAGCAACACAATGATCCGTTGCTTGACTTGTAGATTTGAGGGACTCTTTTCCAAAACACGTTCAATCCTTTTGGACTATTCTGAGCAAAATTTGATTTCCCAGCGGATCCAAAAGCCAGTCAATGATCGTTCTGGAAAGTGTTGTTGTGCACCACACTGGTGAGAAATGAAGCAATCCTTCATCTGCATACGAGGGGTTGGACAAGTAAGTGGACATCCAGTGTGTCCCCAGCGGTCCCTGTCTATGACTACTCAGTCGCATTAGACAGAACTGTCTCAAATTGAGCCCATTATGGGATTAACCAATTATACACACTGAACACTCATTCCTACACACAGCTAGTTCATTTGTGAGTGCACATGAAATGGAACCTGCTGTAAAAATATAGGCATGGATAAATATACGTATGGAGCGTAGACTCACTCGCGGACTTTTTCTTTTGGTGTTCCTGAACAACGCAGTAGAGGCTAATACAAGAGCTGATTTAAAATCAGACAAAAAGGCACCATTTTGCTCAACGCAGTCAGAGAAATGTTATTTTTACCATGCTCATTTTGCTTCGCAGTGGTGTAGAACAGGACCATGAGTACATGGGGTGTGCTTATACATTTTGACAACAGAAGGTTTACAGTTTTTTGTGGGTCGCATTGTTAACCCACATGAAAGGCAGTACAGTACTATGATTTTGAACTCTCAATGAATTTCTGGCCAACCAAACCAAACCTACCAAATTTAAGACAAACTGAGCAATGCATGGAGTTTACAGGTGAATGGATGTCTTAGCAGAGTTTAAGCTTGTTGGGAAATAATTTAGGATTAGATAGGCTGCATAATCTCTTTAGAGACTGTGCCATCTCAGCAGACAGCCCTGCCTATCACCGCATACATCTTCGTACGTAACCCTTAACAGGAAGTGCAGCTTTCGCTTTCCATAGACTATGGATGACAGGTGAAAATACACAAGCAACAGGTGCGCTAGTGTGTTACACGGAAACAGCTTCTGTTGCTGAAATACTCTGTCTTTGGTTTTGGCTGTACATGGAGCTGCCTATACACAGTGAGTAATATTTTCAAAGGGAAATAAATGCAGTCAATTTAGATTTTAAAAGGGGAAAAAATGTCATTCAATAACTCAGTGCGCGGATGATAAGGAAAAGGCTGAAAAGTGGGGGAAATTTTCATTGTGTGAGTGAATAGTGGTCAGCAGTGATGTAACCTCTTTTTTCATTATGGGCAACATTACTAACCTGCAGGGGTGTTTCCTTTGAGTGGAACACCAAGAAGGGACCCGCAATTAATGCTGCCTTGCCACCAAGGTGTTTGAGTGTGTGCTTGGGAGCGTGGATGCGGTCCGCGATGTCGCAGTCATTAGAGAAACTCCTGCAAAGCCATACACAAGGTCTACATGTCACACTGCCCTTGTGAAGGTCTTTTCATAACTCTTAGACATAACCTACTGTAGTACTCACATGCACACTGCCACTCCACTGGGGCCTTGTGGCCAAATGGATGACAGGCATTTTCTTTTGTATGCCCCCATGTGCCCTTCTAGTGACATTCTAGAAATATTTACCAAGACCATGTCACCAAGTTAAGATTGAAGTCCGATCACTGTGCTTGACTTCACCTCCCATTTAAAAATGTAAAAATATAAGTGTTTTTTTATTTTTATTTTTTTTACACCTTTCTCTGCTTGCAGCCCAAATCGAAGTAATACCATGCAAAATTTGCGGAGACAAATCATCAGGGATCCACTACGGAGTCATCACATGTGAGGGTTGTAAGGTAAGACTTCATGAAGCGGAAGGCAACACAACATCACAAAAGCAGTTTGTATGCTTTGTTCAGATACCTGTGAGTGAATATTCATGCGTGGTGTTGACGTGCAAACAGGGATTCTTCAGAAGGAGTCAGCAGAACAACGCATCCTACTCCTGCCCCCGCCAGAGGAACTGTCTCATCGACAGAACAAACCGCAACCGATGCCAACACTGCCGCCTTCAGAAGTGTCTAGCCCTAGGAATGTCCAGAGATGGTGAGGCCCTTTTCATCCACAATTTGCTTGCATCCTGTACGTGAAATGGAATATGCAGACATAAATGCACAACTAAAAACAATATGGACAAAGGTATTACTCATTCATCGATCAGGCTGGACTAAAACCCCTTAGACAGTTCAAACTTAAGGCCCGGGGGCCAGATCTGGGCCGCCACATCATTTTATATGGCTCGCGAAAGCAAATCTACTTACATGATCCTTGATAAAATCTGCCCCAAAATTGTCATGTGTAATAATTAAAGTTGAGATTTTACAATAATTTTGTTACCCCATTTACACTCACTTGAACAATAACTGAACAAAAAACAAATAACTGACTGATTTCAAAACTAATAATCCATCAATTTTTTTGTGTACACGTAACAATACGATGTGAGGATTAACCATTTATTTGGTTTCACTGTCGTAATGGCCCTCTGAGGGAAGGCATAACTCCAAAGTGGCCCGTGACAAGAATGAGTTTAACACCCTTGAACACTCCTAATTCTGAATTCTTAATCATGCCTGTGTCTCTGCCCGTTGTTGTGTTTTTTTTTTCCTTAGCTGTTAAATTTGGCCGTATGTCCAAGAAACAACGTGACAGTCTGTATGCAGAGGTCCAAAAGCACCAGGCACGACTACAGGAGCAGCGGCAGCAACAGACAGGGGAAGCGGAGGCTTTGGCACGTGTTTACTCATCCAGCCTAACCAATGGACTGTCAACCCTCAACCATGAGATTGGGGGCACTTATGCCAATGGTCATGTCATTGACCTACCCAAGGGTGGCCACAGTAATGGCGCTGGACTTCCAGGGGGCTACTATGGGATGGACTCCACCCAGCCATCTCCAGACCAGTCCGGTTTGGATATGTCAGGCATGAAGCACATTAAACAGGAGCCGGTGTACGACCTGACACCAGTTCCCAACCTGTTCAGCTACGGAGGCTACCAGGACAGTCAACTGGGACACAACAATGTCAGCATGGGAGAACTAGGTAAAGATCACGTCTTCACTACATCACACCCATCCATCATAACATATTTAGATGTGAAATCACCACAAACCAGACCTATAAGAACAACGTGTGAATGAGAATGAGCATCTTAAGAGTAGTACAGGTGACAAAATAGGTGACTCTCTTTGACTCTTGGATAGTATAAAAATCTCTGAACTAATAATACACGCATACAAACAGAACATGTCTACACACACACAACAGCCATCGATGGATGAATGCATTGAGTGTTAAGCAGAGAGTAAATTGACTTCCCGCCTCTCCTCCAGACCGCATTGCTCAGAATATCATCAAGTCTCATCTGGAGACGTGTCAGTACACCTCGGAGGAGCTGCAGCAGTTGGCCTGGCAGACACATTCCTATGAGGAAGTCAAAATGTATCAGAGCAAGGTGAATTGTTCTTACGACACTATCCCTCTTGTTACATGTCAACAATTTAGACTTTAGGATTGCCTGTGTTGTTTACCGCCCCCTTGACAGAATTGTTCACTACCATGTCATGCAAATATGACATGCATTGTACACTTGAATGAGACGTCGCTAACAGTAATTCAGTTTCTTCGTGAACAATGGCATGCACTGAGAGCGTGCATGGATTTCAATTACGAATAATGACAACACACGGGCAACATATGCAACTCTAACCGAGTAAATGATGTGCTCTGGTTTAGCCTCGGGACGTGTTGTGGCAGCAGTGTGCCATTCAGATCACACATGCCATCCAGTATGTGGTCGAGTTCGCCAAGCGCATCTCAGGGTTTATGGAATTGTGTCAAAACGACCAGATCCTCTTGCTGAAATCAGGTGAGTCGACTTCTCGTGGCCTCGTACTCGGTATGCACCAAAGAAACATTCGGGCTCCAACGGTCTCTGTCTGGCTCTCTCAGGTTGTTTAGAGGTGGTCCTGGTGAGGATGTGCAGGGCCTTCAACCCTCTTAACAACACTGTGCTCTTTGAGGGGAAGTATGGAGGCATGCAGATGTTCAAAGCTCTCGGTAAGACGTGATTAGCTTCGCTGTACATTTCGGTTACGTCTGAATGACAGACAGAGCCAAGTGAAGGAAAATGTATGGCGCATTTGTCCTGGAAAACACTGGTGTTCCTCTGAGCATTCAGGACTACGATAAGAGTACTGACTTTATTCCTCTCCTCTGTCCTCGTCCTTGTGTTTGCTTTCAAGGTTGTGATGACTTAGTGAGCGCGGTGTTTGACTTTGCCAAGAGTTTGTGCTCATTGCAGCTGACGGAGGAGGAGATCGCTCTCTTCTCGGCAGCTGTCCTAATTTCCACAGGTCAGTGATCACCCACCAATTGTGTTGAAATTATGGTAGCAAATAGTTATAGCAGTCAATACTCAGATGAAGTTATGATTTACATCTACATATTTAGACAGCATTGGATAATTGATGAGAGAAAAACAGGAAAGAAATGTACAGCTAAGCTGAGTAATATTACTTTTATTTGGTTTTTTTTCATGAATACCGTCTTGAATAATTGGATAAGTGGGATCTTTACGAAGTCTTCTTCCCAACCCTTTCCGAGCAAGTCATCGTCTGTTTTTGCCTTGCCATCATTTTCATTTCTCTTAGGGTTTTTTTCTGTCTTGTTTGATCTATTTATAAAAGGCCATTTTCATTTCCATTTTAATTTGAGTATTACTTTACTTACGTATTACAAATAAAGACAATCAAACCAAATTTGACGGTGATGATGGGTTCAGCTTCAGTGGTACAATTTCTGAGCTCATCCAGCGTTGCAGAAAGAAGGGCTTCATAGTCCTTGCTTTATAAAGAAAAAGATCACAAGCAGAAGAGGCCATGAAGTCTATTAAAGTCCCCGTAAAGTGAAACTAGAAATGTCTTACAGATTTGACAGCCCACAAGACGGTGAACAAATCTTGACAAATTTGAATGAAAATAAATAAATCACCAAGTATATAAAAGGCGGCTCCAAAATCGTGAATAATAGACACCTCCTCCCAGCGTGTCCTCTGAATGCGCTGAAAACATGCCCGGCTTGACCTTCACCAGTCACGCAAATGTTTATTCATACAGTATGTGTCAGTGTAAGCCACAGGCTGAATAGCATGCACCGCTGTGTTTAAGAAACGGGCTATTAACTTTCCCTGAATTGTCTAAAGTATGTGGATCCACAAACCACGCAACTCCAAGTGGGGTGGTGATGTATTTGAACACCAGCCCGGTCTGCTCCTTAGTGAGTGAGCTCGTGGGTTAGCGAACTTAAGGATGAGCGAACGTAATAAACTGTCCCTGAAGTGTCTCTTTTGCATGGACCAATGTGCAGCGCAGTGGAGAATTGGACCGCTACACCACCGGGTTGCAAGCCCGCTACTAGCTAGCCCTCTGGCCTCGTCGCAGACCAGCATCGACCCGTCCAAATTAACACAAAACGCTTCAGGGAAGAGGCTTTTTTTTCACAGCGCAGTGGTGCAGGGTTCAATTCCAACTCCGGCCTCCCTGTGTGGAGTTTGCATGTTCTCCCCGGGCCTCCGTAGGTCTTCTCCGGGTACTCCGGTTTCTCCCCACATTCCAAAAACATGCATGGCAGACTGATTGAACACTCTAAATTGTCCCTTGGTGTGAGTGTGAGCCCGGATGGTTGCCCGTCTCTGTGTGCCCTGCGATTGGCTGACAACCAGTTCAGGGCTGCCCAAAGACGGCTGGGATAGGCTCCAGCACCCCCCAGTGACCCTTGTGAGGATAAAGCGGTTCAGGAAATAGATAGATGGAAGGATGAATAGCTTGCTAGCTAACCACATTCTGTTGTGGTAGAAATGGTTTAAGACATTATTACTAGGAAAAGCGCAATTGCAGTAGAAAGAATGAAGGCAGTGGAGAGGATGGCTGACTCATGCCAGAAGGCCCAAGTGCGGTGCTTGAGCTTTATTTTAGCCACGCACCAAAAAATCTGTACAATTGTTATGTTTGAAGAGGGGTTAAACGAACAAACGAATCTCAACAACTCAGCAGTAAATTGTTCACAGTCTTTGCAGATTTTCAGCTCTCATCTCCAAGCATATTTTAGGTATTTAGAAACAAGTCACTGAAGTCACTTTACAGGCTCTCTGAGGGCCTCGAGACTTAAAATAAAAAACTAATACTGTTGACCGACAACATTTGGACCTCATCTTTATCAATATATATTGGTTTGGATACTGTATCCTAACGTCATGAAACGAGTTGCGCATGTAAAATGAACAACCGTCTTCTCTTTCAATGCCCTTTCCAGATCGTCCGTGGTTGATGGAGCCCCGCAAAGTCCAGAAACTCCAGGAGAAGATCTACTTTACTTTGCAGCACATTATGCAGAAGAACCACATGGACGAAGACGCCTTGGCTAAGGTAGGCTAAGCCGTCAGTCACAAAGATCATACTGTAGCACAGTAAAGCAGCAGTTGATAATCTGAACAGGTATGACGGAGAGAATAATGATCAAATTAATCAAGTGAAATTCAGACAGAATACAAGGAAGCTGATGCAGACACATTAGCCAGTATGAAGATGAAAATGAATTCATCAGAGCATCAGTTGCTCCCACATTTGTGGAGTTTGTTTGAGTGTTGTAAAAGCAACATTTCAACATTTTCCTCAATGTAAAATGTGCATTTGTCTATTTTGGTTGTCGTCACGTTTCAGGCAAAGGTCAATGTGACGCATGCTTGCCTTTATGTCAAATGGGATTGGAACGGCCAGTGTGATGTCAGTCACTTTGGGCGCGCTTGCTATTAGATGCCCTGGCGTCGTGCATTTACCCAAATATCTTTCTTTTCTTTCCCCTCTTCTTTGTCAGTTGATCAGTCGTATCCCAACATTGTCTGCTCTGTGTACGCTCCACACGGAGGAGCTTCAAGCCTTCCAGCAGCTTCATCCGGAAACAGTCAACGTTCTCTTCCCGCCGCTCTATAAAGAACTCTTCAATCCCGACCCGAACTCTGCCATGTCCATGCCCAAGTGACTGCCTGCGCAAGCAACAATGTCCGTGGAGGAACAAAAGAATACGAAGGACCACTATGTCTGACGAGGCAACGCTGGCAATACCTCCCCACGTCTTTGTCATATTTCACAGCCCCCCCTTGTTTCATTCGAGACCGGGGAGGTGAGTGGTCATCTGCCAGAAACTTACAGTTACCGCCAACAAAACTAGGAATGTCCAGCACTTATCCCATCCGGTTCACCGATACAGTCTGAAGAATGTATATAGAAATGAAACGTGGCCCAAGCCACGACCTTAGCGGGGGCTTCTTCTTCTTGTCTCCTGACCAGAAATGTACAGACTTTAAAATCTAGGAACAATTTATGCTGCCAGTCTTAAAATATGGGTACTTGACATTTTTTTGGAATTTGAAAAAGAGAAACCTTTTTGTTGATTTTTTTTTTTCTGAGATGAAGAAATAGTTTTAAAATGCCGAATGGGGGAGGGAAGTGTGGAATTAGAGAAGCTATTGTAGATATTCTCCTAGTACAGAGCGGATTCCAGTATTACTTCTGTTGAAATAAGTTAGTCCTAATTTAAAGATACAACAGTCCACTGTGGCTGATTATTCCTTGTCTAAGTGTTTTCATTTTAACTGATACGTTCTTGTGTACAGAATTTGTAAAGTTAAGACTTGTAAAGGAATATTGGGTAAAATTGGGAGCCAATTTTCATTTGTTTATATATATACATATATACATATACATCTATCTATCTATCTATATATATAGGAGCCTTGTCTGGATGTTGTTCATATGTATAGAAGGAATAGCATCTTTCTGATGCAAACGTGTAGAGATGTAAAGAAGAACATAAGATGAATTAACAAAAGACTAGCTACTTTTCAAGGTGATAAAGTATACAGTACTGTTCTATATTGTTGCTGCAATAACTAAATCCCAAAAAGCTGGATTGCTTTTGAACAATCATCGAGAAACAAACAATCAAGAAAGGTCATTTCCAAATCAAGCTGTGCCCTTTCATACATTCCTTGTGTGAAAGGGCCCGGACTTCAGGGTGGTGAGGATTTTCACCTCTGGAGAGAAAGATGAGAAAAGAAACGCAATCTTAATCGAAGGTAACGTTCAAATCTTCAAAGACCTGAATTATTGCCGTATCCCCTCATCCCTCCCGTCACTATTTGCACAATCAAGTCCCTGAACATCCTGGACCACTCCGGGCTATGAATATGAAAGAATCCAAGGAGCAATAACTTTTACACTGCCTTTTCTTTTTTAATCTCATAGATCTTCTTTGCCATTTTTTGTTGTTTTGAACAGGGTAGCAATTTTCAACTAATATGCACTATATTGGAAGGTACTGAATTCCATCACAGGCTGTTTTCAGTGTTTTTCGCAAGACGTGAGATGGGCTGTGGTTAGGATATACGCAGAGCACTGGTTGCCTGACGTGAACAAGAATCATCCTAAATACCAATGATCACTTCTCGAATTGAAATAGACACAGAAAATGTGATAGACAATCACCTTGTTTGCTTTTTGTTCGCAGTTACATATTTATTAGCACTTGCAATTTGTCTCTTTTGTTTTCAATTGCCTTAATGTTGACTTATTTTGTAATTGCAATTTGGCCACTGAGTAACAAAAAGCTACGTGAGCTCAAGGTCTAACCTTTTGAGGGAGGACACTTGCATGAAAACGCTCCAGACTTGGCTTGGAAAATTTGTGCAGTCCTGTTTTTGGCCACTAGATGCTCCATATGCATTATTTTTGTAAAATGTCAGTCAGGTCTGACAATGATTTTTCTCAAGCGACACAAACAACAAAAAAAATTGTGATTCTTTTCATCTTAAAAAGTGGACACACACACACACACACACACACACACACACACACACACACACACACACACACACACACAGATAATATTGGCGCCAATTTGAAAAAGATCTGCAGGTTAATCCACTGCAGGACATGTCCAGCAATGATGTTGCATGTGCACAAAAAGTGGTCATTTTCTGGTAACTGAATACCAATGTTCCTTACACAGTGGCCAAATGTAATGCGTATCGTACGCACGGACATTGTTCCTTGTTAAATTAGCTCAATTGAAACATGAGTTCATTCAACCTCTCAGCCCCCAGCCCGGCGGTGACTCTGTAAGACAATCACTTGCTCATTGAGGCTTGATGCACTACGTAGCATCTCTCAGGGAACAGCTCTTTTCTGACTTTTGCATTAGAAGAGGGTTCAATATTTTTGCAAATTTACAACAACAACAACAAATTTTTAATGATAATAGATGTACTTTTTGCGATTAAAAAGCAGCATATGCTAACAATGGAATCTGCCCAGACAAGGCTTTGAGTAGTGTGTGTCTGTGTGTACAGGGCATGAATTCACTGTCCAAATCTTGTTATTGCCCAGATTATATGATAAGCATTGTGGCGTGTAGCACAAGGAGAGATCTATTTGCTCCATATCAGTGTGCTCTTGACATCACGTTGCGTACACTTATGTTTACTGCTTATTTTGCTGCTTCTGGGCTCCCGTGGGAAAATTCACTCGCAAACTGTGAATCGTGCAACATCACGACAACGCTGGACAGTGAATTCCAACTCTGAAGTTTTTGAGTGAGATGTTTTTATTTTCCCTTGTAAGACTGTGAATCTGAGAGGTGGGATGGGGTTGCGAGAGGATGTGCTGGCAAGAACGAGTGGTAACATAAACACTGTAAGTAGGACACTGTAGCAATAAGAAGTGGAGGCATTTACTACTGTCATGTTTGCATTGTAAGATTATTTTTTATTTTATTACTATTTACTATTATTATTGTTATTATTATGTCTACTATTCTCTATTACTATTAGCCTATTGTTGTTCTGTTCTATTTGCATGACGTTTCATTGCAATGAAACACTTTGGGGAATATTTGTGTTTTCTCACGATATTGTGGAGTTCTGGGCGGGATTATTGGCAGAGCGGGTTTAAAACAGGATCCAGAATTAAGTCGTCACTAAGTGATTTTCCAACAATATGAAGGACTTCTGAATAAAATATTATTTATACGCAAGGAATTTAAGCGATCAACTGGGTGAAAACACCTTTTTTTTTTTTTTTTTGTCTTTCCTAGAACTTATGAATGTGTGAGTTGCTATCACCAGTCAGTGAACGGCCCATTCTGTACTGGCCTTATTGAACCGGATCAGAGACTCTTACACCCATGCTGTGGGGGAAGGTCAACCTTTCTGAATGTTATGGAGTCGTTTGTTCGGTGTGAGAGACTGAACTCAATACGCCTTTACCACTCCATCAACACAGACAAATACATTTGAAAGCGCACAATAAAACTAGTCGACATTCCACAGGATGGCTCTGACAAACCGCACCGACATTTTCATACACTTGTTTTTGAAATACATTCCCTAGACTTTGTCCAACACACTACACCCATAAAACCGTCCTACCTTTCTTGAAAAGAACCAGTATGTGTGTGTGTGTGTGTGTGTGTGTGTGTGTGTGTGTGTGTGTGTGTGTGTGTGTGTGTGTGTGTGTGTGTGTGTGCGTGCGCGCGTGTGGGAGGAACAGAGATACAGTGAGACTGAGACAATGTTTTGTGTACCGATGCTTTGTAAGCTTTCTCGATGCATTACATATGCGTGCAATTCAAATAGTGTTGAAATTTGTTAATTTATTTTTTAGAATGTCTTTGGGTGCAAGCAAGAGCAAATAAAATCTAATGTAGCAATCTGTAACCGGTACCTATAAAAAAGATATTTGGGGTTACAGACCCTCTTTTACACAGGACTAACAAAACAAACATTCCCCCCAAAATTACATTAAAAAAAAAAAGGAAATCTTTTCTTTTGTTTTCAAAGTGCCATAGCTAGTGAGAAGAGGAATGATTGGAAGTGGGCTGTAGATGCTTTACTGTGTTGAGTTTACTTGAAAAACCAATCAGGAAACTCAAGGAAAATGCGCATTTGATTACACTGGCAAACAGTTTTTACATGTTATGCTTTCTTCATTTGGACATATAGGACTCTGCAGGACTCTGAGCTCTGACTATCAATCCACGATGAGCTCCTCTGTGCAAACAGTTTCTTTTTCACATTAGAATGATCTTATGCGTGCGTGTGTATGCATGTATAAATTTGCATTTATTTGCGTCGCAGACACCCACATTACGGATTAGAATGGGTTGAAGTTCAGAGCTATGCAGGGCCCTTTACTGAGTCCTCCTTTGATATGTGTACATATAATGTGAAGGTTTCAAGTGATTTTTGTTAAATTCTATATTTTATCGCTTTTGTAGACATTTTGTTGTGGGAAGAAAAAAAAATTCAATAAATTTTATGGGTGAAACTCTGCCTCATTTTTTTCCTTTCTGTACAACACGAGTATGTATTTGCACAAAGCACTTGCATAACTGCTCATGTCTGGTGACATAATTGAACGAGCGTGTTACAAAAGCAGCACAGATAGATTCTTACACCTGCTTATAATTTGCTTTCTTACAGTCTGAACAAAAATAATGTATGAGCATTTACATGACATGTACGATACTTGAAATGGATACATCTGTGTGTGTCTCGGTCACAAATTTAACTTGTTTTCTCTGCTGTATGACAGCATGCGTATGTATGGCCTGATGCAGGAGTCAGTCAATATTTTCTCAGAGGACAGCGTGAGTTCAGAGTTGTCTGTGCATGAGCTGCAATGTAATCGTGTCCTTTTATTCCTACTTCACGGGCCCCAGGTAGCGTGATGCTTTTAGCCGAGACGTTTTTTTCCCCTCTCATCCTCTTGTTCCGTTTCCCCTGGCGCAGGCTCTGCCTCACTGCTTTTCTTGCATGTGTCCAGATGCCTCCTTAAAGCTGAACAAGAGATACATCAGTAAGCGACATGTCGCTCCCATATCATCATCATTAGCACAAGAAAGAGAATACTGACAGGGCTTTGAGGAAGTCCATGCTTCCATCATGAATAATTTGGTTTGATTTGTTATAGAAATCTTGGAGAGGACATAAGAGGAGGAAGAGGAAACACGACGTACCTTTGAAATATCAAAACAACTGTGACTGTATGTTTGTGTGTTTGTTTGTTGCACTTGTTTGTTTTTGAGCACAGTTCCTTTCCGAGCAAGTTATCCTCTAGATGCTGGTCTCGTGTCTACCCAGAGACATTAATTAATAGCTAATCAAAGCTAATGTCTCAGCAGCACATTGCCAGCACAAAGACATGATTAATACGTAATCAAAGGCTGTGCGGCGCAAACGCACAAAGCAGAACCCACCACCCCCCAGCCACCCCGCCTCGAACACCGCTGTTGTTATAGAAATAAACGAACGCTCGCGGCTTAATTAGCTGGCTCTTGATATGTGTTGTCTTCATTTGAAGTTGTCGGGGATTTATCTCAGAGCCAACTTTGCCCTCCTGAGTGACAACATTGAGGTGACACGGTGCATTAATACATGCAACCCATATTTTATCGCAGGTTGTCTCCTTCTCTGATTTAAAATCCAATTGCTTCATGACCGAGTGCATTTCGAACCTGAGAGGCCCAACGTGTGGCAGCAAGCACCGCATGAGTGCTTTTGCAGAAACGCATTGATGGCAGAATCTCCAAGGTTGTCGGGGCCAAACAGCATCTCACGCCTGCCGCTACTGTGCCAGGGAACAGAGACAGCATCAAAAATGACAAATATGTTTTATGTAACACTTGTTTTTTGAGACAACCTCAGCAGAACTTGAGCTAAATTCTCACATTGAAGTTGGAGTCATACCTGTGCATTTCTGCCATAATGACTGTTGGGTCGGTCAGCTCCTCTCCTACTCCTGTCATACGCAATATAAAATTTCCAATTCACAAAAGGTTCGCGTTCGAGGCTTTTGGGTGACATTTCCAGGTGAATCTAAATGCACCATAATCTTTACAGATTAAGTTCAACTAAATTTGACCTTCTCTCAATGTTCCGATGCACATGTCCACCTCTTCAATGTTTGACTATTTTTTTGACCCACTTGCTGTTCTCAAGCAGCTGAATGACAAAAATCACAACAGGTGTTTGATCCGTGTATCCACCAATACATTTCCAAGGATGTCAACTTCTGTGACTTTCTGTAACTCTTCCAGTCTCACTGTATCCCTGCTGCAACCTTGTGATGACATTCTAAGATGAGTGGCCACTTTCTTCTGAGAACGTCCTGTTCGAAGCCTGAGAATAACAAGAATGCTAATTCTTGTTATTCTGAGAATAAAAAGAATTGCTCAACCTTTCGGCGGCATCGTGGTCTCACGATGTCAAAACATAAACAAGATGATGAAGCGGCCCATCAAACATTAATTCGAATTGAACCAGTCAATTTACTTTATATTTGAATTAAATGTCAGCAGCTCTTTATTGGAAAAGAGCAAATTGCGTAAAAAGCACGGATACATTAAACAACTGGACATGCGTGTTAGAGCCATAAGGAAAATTTGGTTAAATTATATATTGAGCTATTTCTTTTTTATTTCATTGAATAATTTGATTTGACCAGGTGCAAGCTGTTTGGCTTGTATTTGATGTTTTATTTTATTGCTATTTTACTTGCAGCAAATTTATTAAGAATAATAAGGTATCTGGGCTCTATTCGTTGTCCTGCCTTTAGCCTGTTAAAAAGCTAGGGTAGTTGCCGTGGATGGTGTTGACGTAAGCATCATTAGGAAGACAGTCAGGCATGGAGCAACAACTTTTCTGACCGTGCAGCCATGTGCAACGTGTTTCGTGCACGTGGCTCCGTGCAAAATGTAGTATTGTGTTAGTGGGCTAACGTTACACTGTTTGGCTTTTTTTTTTTTTTTTTTTTGTAAAGCCTTAATTTGTGTTCAAGAAGAAATTAAAGCAAATCCTTTTTTTTTTTTTGATGAACTACGACGCGGCTTAGTACTTTGTTGTCGTCCTTACTGAATGGAAAGGCCTGTTGAAGAAAGGCATGAGTCGGGAACCTTAATGCCCTGATGACGTAGTCACAAAAGGACAATAAGTTGCCTCTACAATGTGCATTCAAAAGTTTCAGAATAAGAATAAGAAACCTTTATCCGTCTCACAATGGAGAAATTCCCAATTTACAGCAGCAAAGTTATGAAAGGAAGAAAGTAGAAGAACAAAAAGTAGAGGAGCTGCTGTAAAGGCAGCCACTCTCGCGGCACCATCTTGAAGTCATAATAACATAATAACAAAATAATACAACTAGAGATCAGATTAAATGAACCTATAAAGGTTATAGTGCATTCAGCTAGAAATTGCAGTATATGTGACAAACACGTACAGGTTTGTGAGACCCACCTTGTACGTCAAGCACCAACAGTTCTGTGCATGAGTACTCATAGGTCCAGTGTGAGAAGGCCAGGAGCAGCTCTTCCAGTGAAGTGGAAGGTGTGATCTCCTCTCCTGTGTTGTTGTTGTACTTTTGGAAGTTACCAGACATGTTCCTTTCAATAGTCAGCCACTGGCCATTCGAATGCCAAAGGACCAATGATACGTCCAGAAATCTGGCATGGTGACATGACAAATGTCGGTGTGTAAAATTGCAAGTGAAATCACACAAATGGACATACTTTGGTGAATGTTTAATGCCAGCGGGTTTGATCTTGTTGAAAACTTGCATCATCCTGTGTGCTGCCCTCTGCTGCTGAATCTCCTATAAATATCGACAACAAAAAAAAAAACCATTGCATTAAAAGATGACAATGTCAGGCAGGCTTGGAGATTTCAAACAACTTGATACACAGCATCAGTAGTGCTCCGGCCATTTTCAAAAGACCACAGACCGCTTGTTCATGACATCAGCTGGAAATGTCCAAATTTGCCTCCAAGTGGAAATCTGAACAATTTCATATCTTTCAGACGTTTTGAACTCACTCTCAAACAAAGCTGCAGTGCTGTGCTACCGTGAAAGTATTTCTGCCAGGCAGACAGCACCTCTGGTCTGAAGGCTTTGACCACGTACACCATTCCAGGTATGAGGACATCCCGTTCGGCCCAGGTGCATAACACCCTGCGGCCCCGCCGCAGGCCCCCATCCAGCGATCCCTCTTCACTCGGGAGAGGTTGAAGCATTGCAGACAAGCCTCGTGAAGACCATGATGACACTGTGCTAGATTCAGGGTCAGCCTCTGAGTGAACTTCCTCCAGGGAGTAAATGCTCACCTCTTCACCACCTCCAGGCGAAAATGAATGGTGAATCAATTTTAGGATCAAGTATCAGAATGTATCTGTTTGATCATGGAAAATTACAGTTGGCATCTAGAAATCAATTGATGTAGAAGTGCATGAAAAAGGGTACCTAGAATGGAAACGGGAGTAAATGGGATCGTTTGAGCGAGTCTCATCAGATTGTTTCTTTCCATGGCTGTTCACATACACACAAACACACAAATTCAGTAAGTACTTAACTCTCAACTCAGCTGATTATTATCGTATTGGCCCGAATATAAGACGGTGTTTTTTGCATTGAAATAAGACTGAAAAAGTGGGGGTCGTCTTATATTCGGGGTCTAGACATTATACCCATTCACGACGCTAGATGGCGCCAGATATCATTGAAGCGAATGTTGAACTTGACTCCCCAGGCCAAAGTGAACCCCTGTCACGAAGAATAAAAATAAAAATAGCGGTAGCACGAAGAAGAAAAATAAAAAATAGCGGTAAGAAGGAAAAAAAGAAGTAAATAATAGAAGAGATAACAGAAAATGGAGAAACGTAGTGACAATCTGGAGAAAAGCGGGTTGAAGATCGGCCAGGTTAACCGGCAGCTGAGGAGAATTTATGGTTTACATTTCAAAAACCAGAAGCCATTCATTTACGAATGTGATTGCACTTTAGTTTATATATTTAAATGTTCAGATATTAAGATTTGAATGAGGTAAAATAACATGCTTTTTCTCTCGAATATATTGTTATAATCATTTGTTTCAGATGTACAGTACTGTAATTATTTTCTGTATAAAAATTAATTTGGTGTTCAAAAAGTCTTTTTTCAAACTTGAGTCTTGAAAAAGACGGGGTCGTCTTATAATCAGGGCCGTCTTATATTTGGGCCAATACGGTATTATTTATAAATACAGACAGTACATACACATATACATATATTCGAAGTCAATTTTATTAATACCTGAATAATGTGGATACAACATATCCGTTGATTGGAATGAGGAACTTCCTGAAACAAGGACAGGACAGTAATGTCATGCTGCACAACTACTTTTTACGCACACACGCACACACGTATTTTAGAAATACCTTCAGCAGCGAAACCACTCTGCAACCTGGAGTAGGCATAAAAAAATATATAATAATAATCTGTAGTTGATTCAACGATCCACCCAAAAGAGGACAAACAGACAAAGGGCAGACTTACGAAGATCTGCGGCTCACTGATCTGGACCAGCTGTTCCATGCTGAATGAGTTGGGCTCAAAACATCCTGGATGTCACAGTAAAACATTATACATAAATACACACACAAATACATAAACAGACCCTCTGTGAAATATAAGTGTAACATTGTGACGATTTACACTACCTGATGAGAAAAAACTTGCTTCTGCAAATCCAAGGGCTCAAAATCTTTAAAAAAAAAATAAAAAAAGGCAAAATTATAAAACAATAACAAATGGCAAATAGCATGCATTTTGGTACCCTCTCATAACCTGCTTGTTGTCCATTATGGGCTAAAACGTGCTTAACACTCGCTGGCACAACGCTAGCATTATGTATGTGCTGCATTTGAAAAGCCCAATCAGTTCTTACTAAGCTGACTGAGGCTAGTTGAAGCTGACCAACATGCAGGTTCTCCTTTCAACCTTCGCCACCTGTTCCAGCAAGCATCAGACAAAAATGTGTCCACGGTTCCCTATTTAAAGAAACAAAACAAATTGACAACATAAGAGAATGCAGCAATTATACTCTATACATGGGAATTGTTTAAAATGTGTGCATTTTAAACAATCCAGTAAAACCTACAGTCAATAATTACACCAACTCTTACGTTGTCTGGGCTGCTCGCTTGTATTTTAACAGTCTTCCTATTTGGGGTTCTTCTTCTGGTCATGGTTTGGGTAAAGTCAGATGACTTGGACAACTCTGCAGAATCAAATACTAGAAACACTGAGACCAAACAATTCAACTGAGAGTTTCAAAACCTTAAGTTCATTCAAATAACTAACAACATGTAATGAGTTAGGCATATTCATGTTCTCTCACAATTACTTGGTGAAATGCAGAGCCATTAGTTCAAAGTTCCAATATTGTCAATGACAATCGTACCTCTGGTTCTGCTCCATTTTAATGACGTGTCATCTCTGAAACTTCTTTTACCATCTTGCTTGTTTGGTGCTTCGTTAAGGTAAGGAAATGATGCACCCCTTGAAATCGGTAATGCCCCAAAGAAAGTCATATCCTCCACACTGGTTGATAAAGACCGGCAGTAGCCATAAGGGTGGTCTCTTGACAGATAGGCCGACCTCGGAGATTTTACAAAAGTTCTGTTCTGGGAATTCAGTTGGCTTACATCCTGGCGCAAGGTACCATTTTCTAAATCCTGAGAGATGTTTCCAGGGTCAGAAAGAAGAACATTGCTTGTAGATTTGGATTCTTCTAAGTTGGAGAGATGTTCATGTATTGGCTCTTTCTGTTCTTTTTTTTCATCACCACTGCCTTGTTCTTCCTCCTCTTCCATATCAATTTCCTCACAATTTGGGTACAGGTGCGCATCACAGCTCCAGGGTTTATGTGGTGTATCCAGTCCTCTGTCAGCAAATTTGAAAAAAAGAGGAGACCCACAGCGGGATGGTCCACGTGACTCAAATGGTGTCTGATCACTGAAACCACTAAGATGGCTTCCCACTCCATGAAGGTGCAGAACTGTTGAGGGCGATGCATCTCGAGAGACACCCACACACAACTCACTAGCATGGTGAGCATCAGGCAACTGTGTTTTGTAAATAAGGAAAAAAAAAAATTTAAATACAAACACAGTTCAACATACTATGTATCACTTTTTGATTTACTGTACGGTATGACAGAAAAACATTTCTTTGCTGCTGCAAAAGATTGCAACATACCTCATTTTCTCCCTCTTCCATCTGTCCTTCTCTTTCTCCTCTGCTCCCTCTGATTCCCAGGTGGGACTCCTGTGGCCCATGTCGAAGAATGTAGCCTTTGATCAACGAAGGTGGAGTACTTCTAAAAGGCTTGCACGTCAGTCGTCTCATATTAGCCACATCATAGTCCGCACCACTTCGGTGCAGAGTCCAGCTGTGTGGGAGGGCATGTTGGGATGTTTGGATCAGTCGGGACTGAGCCAGGCGAGCCTCCTCTTGATGTAGATTGTCAGAGGCAGAGAGCAGGGTCAGTGTGTCCACAGCCAGTGCTGACAAGTCCTGAAGTTCACCCAGCTGAGAGTCCAGCTTAGTAAGACTGTCCTGAATGATGTTGACCTTCTCTGAGACTTCACCCACCATCGTGCACATTTCTTCTGCTCTATTTGAACACATAATGTAAAAATACAATTCTTGCCCTGTTACATGTACAGTGCATTAAAGTTATCAATTTTTTTTAAAATACATTGTTAAAATTTGTTACAACTATGATCATTTTAATGGCTATTTTAAAGAATAAGTCCAGCGAAATTCATGGCAATCTTTCGCAGGCCTTGAGTTTCACACTGGAGCCCTAAAGCAAGCCTTTATAACCAGTGGTAACATGTCGACGACTACCCAAATTGTCAAGATCAAACATGGCGCAAACGATGATATATTTGGGTTAAAAAAATACAGTAAGAGCTATACAACCTGTCAGCTGTGACTCCGATTCTGTTCATCTGACTGCTGTAGAGATCTTGAGTCTTTTCGTAGAGGTATGCCTGTACACATTTCTCCTCAAATTCGTGGAGTTTTTTGCGGTCATCACGGGCTAAATAGAGCTCTGGCAAAACAACGTTCGACCAGAAAAGACACTGAAGTGGTACACACTTAATAATCCACCAAAAATTGAACTATATTAAAAAAAAAAAAAAGAAAAAATCACTAAACGTTATTTTGAGAGAAACTAGTACTCACTAAGTCCAGAGCTTCTTTCATCTCCCTCAGCATTTCCATTAAGTCGCTTGTAAATGGCTCGCAAAGCAAAACTCATGTGACTGAGGAGAATTAGGGGTGGAGGCAGCCATGGTCTGTCCAGATAGGTCATTATGTATCGGTAGCGGTTGTATTTCCACAACTTATTGGATGTTGATGCCATATCAAAGTAAATGTTGCTGACAATGAAAGACAACCCGCAGGTTAAAAATGGTCTCCCCTGACACTCAAACTTGAAGCTAGACATACCTTTTGCCGAGGTACTCACTTAAAAAATGCAATGAGAATGTTGACCATGATTATGTACTGGAAAAACATGTAGACGGCTTGAAGGAATGCCGTGAGAAAGGAAGCAGGAGCACATGGATGACCATCATCACAAGCTGTTAAAACAAATAAACACATTCCATTCAGTCCAACATACAGTACTATACAAATGTGAGTACATTATAAAATGTAGAAAGACATGAATATTTGAATGCATGATACCATATTTTTACTCTTTTTTTTCTTGTACTGTGAATTATTAAAACTACAGCTCGGACTTGCACACAAAATCCCTGTTCCCCAACAATGTTTACTTTTTTGGGCAGTTGGCGAATACTTTGAGTGCAACAACGGCCATTGGCCAAAACGTGATGATAATGCACCAAAAGTACCCACTAACCAAAAGAAAGAAGAAAAAGCAATGGAAGAAGAAGAAAACAAAGAAGATATAGAAGTAGTTGTCATGCATACCGCCGGAGGCCACTTTCTTTATAGCATGCTAAAGAAGGTGACGGTAACGCACCAAAACTATTTGCAAACAGCCAAATGAAAGTAGCAGAAGAAATGGAAGCCAAAGAAGAAGCGGCAGTCATGCCAATGAACTACTGGAATTTAGCATGCGGCTTCCTTACGCCACAACAAGGAGTTACGGACATAAATTCATTTTTTGTGCAAGTCTAGTCGTTTTTGGGACCGTGGTGCGCCTCTCTGGGTGTTCCGGTGCACAGAGTTGACTTGCCCCCGACTCTTCTGATAATATGGTAACAGAAAGAAGTCTGTGCTTGGCATAAAAACGGGTGCATTGTTATTTTTTACAGGGCAATACCCAAGTTTAGCGTTTCAAAAAGTAGACTAAATTTTAGGCTGCCTAAAAGGGTCTCTATTTTGCAACGCAGGCATGTAACGCGATTTTAGTGTACTTGATTGATGCACAGGCAGACAAATTTGGCGCCCAGAAGACTTGCATGGTGGACGTCACAGTATTTCATTTATAAATATGACAGCAGTTTGGGATAATCTCTCTGCATCATTGTAGAACACAAATCACTGAATGGATTATAATCATTGTATCATCTTAAAAATATTTTAGCAGCATCCCTGTCATTATGAGGCGGAGGGGTTCACACTCAAACGCACGACTGGGGGTGCTTGCCGGTCTCCCATTGTCTACGTCACATGCACAGCCAACTACATCATTTACAAATTGAGGTCTTGCAGTTTATCTGCCAATGTCATGCACAAACCCGAGGGAGTCTATTTCTGTTCCCACAATGTCAAGCACGGTGTACTCGGTCGGGCATACTGCGCTCGGACCGCCCTTATTTTGATGCAAATGAGGGATTCCACTAGGATTGGCTGGGAAAACACTACTTCCATCCCACAAGGGCAACCAAAGGCGCAACCCCCCGATTACGCCCAATAATAGTCTAGCTTAATACCAAAAGGAAAAGAACTCCACTCCACAGTTAGACTGAGCTTTGCGCGACTTGAGCTCAGGATGAAAATAAGGCCCCTCGAATCGAGTTTCATGCAAAAGCATTGTCTAATTATTCTTATTACATTATTCTTTTTTTGACATGTTTCCTAAGGATATGGCATGCACAATATCCTTTTACTTTTCTTTTAAATACATATGGCGACTTCAGAATTTACTTTATCGCAAAAGAGTCTCAAAGGGCTTCAGAGGCCCACAGTTGACAAACATTAATGACTACTACTGAATCACTGACGATCTATCTCTGATGCGTAGACCTCTCCATAGATCATCCAGTACGGCTGGAACACCACGTCACGAGCTAAACTCCATGATGGGTCTTCATCTGGTGACAGGATGGCCTTCCTCGATACCCCAAAACTGAGCAGTACAATTGCCATCATCACCACGATAAAGAACATGTTTGAGGTCTGGTTGAAAACACAGAGAAACCAGATAAATAATGATTGACAGCATATTTTTAAAAAGTACAAAATGCACATTAGCCACGTACCATTTTGGTAATCATTGTGAGGTAGGGACCAGCATGTTGATTGACAGCCAGAAGATCCATCACCCTGACGAACCAAAATATAAAATCCAGACAGTAGGCGATCCGTCCGACTGTCCGGTATGGGTCAGCATGCCAACGCATCACCAGAGCAAACAGGAAGATGACGATGGCAATGAAGTCAGATACATTCCAGTACTCGGAGAACCAAATCTTCAGTTTGTGACTCAGCTTCCTTGGTTCTGACATTAACACCTGATAAGGGGTTTCCATAAATGATTATCACTAGTCATCAAAGTACTTTATCACAAAATTCTTATTTTCCACTTCAGTACATCCCAAGTCCCACTACTCGGTTTTCTTACCTCTCTGGTTTTCTCCACTGCTGTGGTCAATATATATAAGATGACCAACCACTCCTGAACACCTGGTTGATCGTCCATCTTCACTAAGATGGTGTAGGAGAATAACATCAGGAAGGCAAGGTATGACATCTACAGTGGACAGGCACAGCAAATACAAATCGTTTCCATTGAAAGAGTATTGAAGAAATACATCAAGGAGGGCATAAAATGGATGAATTACTTTCTCAGAAAATAATACAATTGATATTAAAATTTGACTATTCCTGACAACTTGCGCGTCACCTACTGTATGGAACCAGAATTTAACAACAGGAGCTGTGTAGAATTCATAAAGTCTTGTGATCCAGGACACAGTACACAAAGTGATTGGAAAAAGATCTTCAGACCCTGAAACACGAGCTCTGTCCTGGGACGATAGTCCATGCTCTGCATCCTGGTTAGCCTGTGAGTGGGAATTTCAAAACGGTATGGCGATTGAGGGATTCTGTGTAAGTTTATGGCGCACGCTGTGTACTGTATGTACCATGTCATCGGTTTCATCATGCCTTGCTCCTGGCTTAAGAGTGTCACGTCCAAACAGAATTGCCTCATGAGACTGGGGAACATGACACATTTCAGCTTTACTTTTGAATTCCAGAAGCAGAATGGCAGGAGGCAGGAGAAGGCTCAAAATGATCTGAAAGAAAGCAATTAAGTCTAAAGCATATGCATGAGCATAACAAGTCTCAACAGCCAGCCATTAAAATCAAACTACAGTGATCCCTCACTATTTCGCGCTTCGTTTATCGCGTCTTCAGTGCATCGCAGATTTTTTCAAACATATTCATAAAAAAATTTAAAAAAAAAAATCAATTTACACGGAGTACAATACTGTATATGTTGCTCTATGTGACTCGCTGTTGTTTTGCAGCTTCTCGCGGACCGTTTGCGGACTTTTTGCGGACTTAAAAAATGTATATATTTTTTTTTTCCTGTGTATGTTTATTGGTCTCTACTTTGCGGATTTTCGTTTATCGCGGGTGGTTTTGGTCCCCATTAACCTCGATAAACGAGGGATTACTGTAGTTTTCTTTTCAGGTTTGTACTAGTTCAGATACCAAGCATATGATTTGCTCGAAGCAGCTGGTACTAACGCATTGTCACTCCATGTTTGTTTTGAAGTGATATTTCTGCCCCAGAGTTTCAGTAGACAGACAGTATATCAAGAGTGTTTAATCCTGAATACATCAAAATAAACAAGGAAATTTGTCAAGGGCACAAACAACCTGGCTGCGCTCACATTACCTTTAAATATGAGTTTTTTCTCATGTTGAGTGGACCAGTCCAGAGATCAGTGAGGAGGGACTGCGTACAAGAGTGCGAAACAAAAGGTCTGTGACATGAAGAAACTGCTATTTGCAGGCTGGTAAAGTGGCTCCATGCCTCCATCTCAGAAGTGAGCAGCTTCATTGCCATCTTCTCATTCTGACGAAATGCGCAGTCTAAAACATTCACTGCCAGCTGCCCAAATTCACTAAGACACAACACAGCACAGTAAAAATATAAGCAACGTAATTTCAAGTGAAGAGAAACAACTACAAATCAAAACAAGAAGAAGCAAAACTATTCCATCCATTAATCCATCCATTTTCCGATCCGCTTTGTCCTCACAAGGGTCGCGGGGGGTACTGGAGCCTATCCCAGCTGTCTTCGGGCAGTAGGCGGGGGACACCCTGAATCGGTTGACAGCCAATCGCAGGGCACACAGAGACAAACAACCATCCACGCTCACACTCACACCTAGGAACAATTTAGAGTGTTCAATCAGCCTGCCATGCATGTTTTTGCAATGTGGGAGGAAACCGAAGTACCCGGAGAAAACCCACGCAGGCCCGGGAGAACATGCAAACCCCACACAGGAAGGCCGGAGCCTGGATCGAACCCACGGCGTCTGTCTGCACTGTGAGGTCGACGCGCTAACCATTGGACCACAGGGCCGCCCCAACACTACTCCCCAGTTAATAAATTTGCTTCGTAATGTATCAGGACATTTTGTTTTTAGAAATTTGTCCATCATCCATGTTTTCTCACGCTTATCCTGATTAGGGTCACGGGTCAGCTGGAGCCAATCGCAGCCGACTCTGGGTTAAACACCCCGGACTGACCGGCAGTCCATCGTAGGGCACATATGGACAAATGGCCATTCACACTCACACCTAAGGACCATTAAGAGTCTTCATTGAAGCATGTTTTTGGAAAGTGGGAGGAAATTGAAGAAGAGGAGGAAAACCCTCACAAGCACTGGGGGAACAAACTCCTCAGAGGAAAGTCAGAGCGCGGACTTGAACCGCGATTCATACAATACTGTTATGAATCATGACTGTTTTAATCAATGCCCTCCTTCACACTCACAGTGAATATGCTTTGAATTGCTCCGCAATGTGATCATCCATGCTGCTTTGCCGTGCCTTAAAGGCCATAGAGCGATAAAGCTTGCAAGCGACTGTGGCCCGAGCAAGAGCCTCTTCGCCATGTTGCCATAGGAACAGCGCCATCTGTTGGCGCTGCTGAAGCACGGCCCACACAAAGACATCATTAAAGTTGAAAGAAAAAACCAGTGGTGCTTCACAAAGTTCGGTACTCCATACAGCCTTTACACTGGTAGTACGTGGCACGTTCTGGTCCTAGATTAAAAAACATAAGGACAGAATATCTATCAGAGTGGCTCATCAAATAAAAATAAATAAATAAATAAATAAACAATCAAGAAAATAAAAAGTGACTATTCATCCAAAAACAAACCATTGAGTAATAAAACGCTACTTAAAATGACCATGGCAAAATCCTAGTTATTAAATGAGATGATGAACATTTTAGCTGGCTGCCAATCACTTCATTACATGACGTAATCACTCCAGAGATCACAATGAAATTCAAGCCCGGAAATTTCACATCTTGTGCAATAAGAGCATTTCTCTCAAACTGCTCTGAATTATCTGATGCGCACCATCCAGATAAGCATGCCTGATTTGACACTTGGTTTCCTATGCCACTGAAAAGAATAAAAGAATGCCCCACCCACTTTGCGTTTGTAAGGCTGAGCAGTTCGAAAGAAATGCGGTTCCTGAGGACTTCCCCTCCGTTGAGAGTTTGGTATTATTCCAATTTTTTGTTCGGACATGGAAGAGGTACTGACACGTCTACCTTCCTGTAAACAACACACACACACACACACACACACACACACACACACAAGTACACACGCACACAGACACGAAACTAAACGGGGGAACGGATCTAGAATGAATCAAGGGTAAATAAATCATGTTGTTCACCTTGTCCTGTAGTCTGTTGTAGGCAGTTCTGAAGTGTTTGCGTGTATAGGTGCTGCGGTATGCTCCTCCGATGAGGTATTCTATGACTAAGCCCATGTCAATGAGAGACAGCCGGTATCCTGGAGGTAGAGAGGTCTGCACACACAAACACACACACACACACACACATACATTAAATTAAGTGAATTAAAATTATACTGGATAAAAAAAATGTCAAACATTTTCACATGACTTTTAACACTTACCTGTTTCACATCCTCAACAAGGTGATGAAGAAAATGGTCAGTCTGTCCTTGAGGCTGAGAAGGAAAGACTTACATCATGATTAATAATAACAAACAACACGTAGTTCAGTATATGGAAGGAGATCATAATTATTCACAATGGTTACTTTTTAATGACACAGCTGTCAGATAAAGCAGTCCAAATACTGTATATTCAGCAGTGGGGCTGGCTCTAGATTGTTTCTGAGGAGGACTTATTATACTAGCGTTATAAATAAGTAAACATATATTTTAATACACAAAAGATGAAGGCAAGTGAGTGTGGAGGAGAATCAAGTGTCTACACGAAAAAGAAGTCTCTGATTTGAACAGCATTCTGAATAATTGGACTGATTGTAAATGACCATAAGCCACAAACAATCTCTTGGGTCTGGGTGTGCTGTGGTTGCGAGTTCTGTCACAACCGCTGTTCACAATTTACGCTTCAAAAGAGACCAAGAAATTAAGTGGATTTCCTCTGTTTGTGCAGCAAGTGTGCACCACATTGAAGAGGAAAAATAACAACCCAAAGAAAACAAAGGAAAGAAAGTATTCCGTTGCAAAAAAAAAAATAAATGGGATTGAGAACAGCAAATATTTGTAGATTAGTTAATGTTAAATAAGAACCATGTTATAAAGTTCCTCCAGGCGATCCACGGTGAGGAAGTGACTCATAGTCATTCCATTGTCAATCAGCAGTTTGACAAAACTGACGCGGTCCATCACCAAAGCATCCAGCATGGCCTGTTCCAATGAACCCACCTAGGATTTCACGAGAAACAGCACAAATGAAGATGTACAGTACTGTATTTTGTTCATATACCTGTACAGTATACTGTACTGCAGCTTTTGTGTTATGAACAGTGTTAGGAGCATATATTTTTGCATTTCATTGCTTGTGTTGTTACACATGTATTTTATTCACATCCTTGCATGTTCATAAAGGACATGTACCATGCTCATTTCACACATAAGGGAATTCTTTTACAAGGAAGGACTGGACAGCGCAAATATGCTTCCTTACTAGAGAATATTTACTGTATACTATTCCTCCTCACGAATTATTATAAGAAGTAATCTTGTACAACTTTCCACGATTCTATTTGATTTTATTAAAAGTCAGGAGCCACTAAAAAAAAAAAAACACTACTCACAAAAAGTTAGGGCCATGTGATTGGCAGGTGAATATTCAATATGAAGTGAAAATGCACTATAAGCTTTAAAGGTGAACTTAAGTTGAACTGGTCAAAACTTCTGACTGAAGGCACATAAATTACGCCACCTTGGCACACATAATTACAGTAATTTGATGACTTGAGCTAGCTAGGCCATAATATTGCTCTTTTGTACTCTGTTGACTCATTTTCCACCCTCTGGACAATCGTAGCCCTGAGGTAATGTACTGTACAATATTACCAACAGACGCCCAGAAGTCCAGAAATCCAACAGTGTGTGGCCAGTTGCTCCCCTTTTTACAACTTAGAAAATCATGACCAGTGAAGCCTGGTATGCTGATGGCTCCATTCTCAGACATTGTTGTGCGCATATGCAAAAACAAATGTACGTACATATGAATGAAATCAAGAAAATGATGACCGATGGTGGTGAGTAATGCCGAGTTTCCCTGATTTTGAGCCGAATGTAAATTAAATGTAATGCTTCAGGTGACTTTATATTTTCATTTTTGGTTCTATCCAGGTGGGCTGTTGCGGTTATAAGAACATGATACACTTAACAGTAAAAAAAAAAAAAAAAAGATATAGGCACGAAATATGAGTTGGCCATTAAGACCTGGAGTGTAAGTCCATGGTCAGTCTTACCGGCCAGTGTTGTCCATACACCAGAACGCTTTTCTGTGCAATGTCAGCCCTGTCCCAGGCTAGAGTCATACTCAGCTGCTCTGCAGCACTTGCCTTTGTGCCTGTTCATAACGTAAATGAACGGAAGAAATTTGGACAGCTCATTAACACAGATCTTTTACAGCTTATTTAATGTCAGAGTAAAAAATATTAATGATTACTATTTCAATAATTTAACTTGTACTCCTTCCCTGGCACTCCAGATGTCAGCTACGTTAAAAAAGCAAGTGAAGGTAGGTACCCTTGAGAATAGTGTTCAAAATGGCGGCATCTGGGGCCATGTGGTCCTCTGACTCTGAATCAAAGATGGTTATCTGAAACACGTAGTGTAAAATAAAAGTGCATTTTAGACTTGCGACCGATCGTAAACAAATCAAATCTGATTGTTCTTTCACCTACAGATTGTCTGTGATCCATACATTCCAGAAGGAGAGCGCAAAGGCGAGACGCTTCCTTTCTGTCGACTCCAAACACCTCTCCAATCCTTAAAAGGAAGCCCTCTTTAATGTCTGCATCTAACTGCCTAAAACAAATTGAAAGTGCTTTTATGAGACTTACTGTGCTTTTGATCAATTTCAGAGACAAACACCAGGAAAGCATTTTTGCAAATTAACCTTAGATTTTCCACCAGATGCAGAAGAAGAAATGTGCATACCTGTCACTATCAGTGTGCTTATGTAAAAAGGCAAACAGGTCCGCAGCCCTTCCAGATCCCTCAAACACGAAGACTGGTACAGGGGGGTTATTGCTGACATAGTCCAGCACTGTGGAAACAATGGCAGGGCCTCCTTCTACTATCACACACACCATTGGCACTCTTTGGTTAAATCCTGTGGAGTGCAAATCATGAAACATTGTTGCCACAAAGTAGTGAATCCTGACGCGGAATACATTTCAACTGTGGGAAGTGTTGGCAAAAAGGAACAGCTAGTATATGTCAGCTACAAAAGCAAGGCAACATCATAGCAGCACACCGCATAGTCTCACCAACTGAGCAGAGAGCAATCATATGGGATGGTTCTAGTTTTGCCATGTTGCTTGTTTATTACAATAAAGATATCCTATCGTTTAGAAACTGTGTTTTCATTCTTCTCATTCAACACCCATAGTGCATAATTCACTTAATGCAATCGACAGACTGCAGTGTCTACAACGGGGGTCACCAACCTTTTTGAGAGTGAGAGCTACTTCATGTGTACTGATTGTGTGAAGGGCTACCAAATTGATACACGTCTGAAATAACATCTGTACAAATTACATTTAATAATATTAGAATGTGTTATTTCTAATACTTAATGATTGATTTAAATTTTCAGGCTCTGATCATCTTAAAGATGTCTCACAATACTGCCAGTATTTGCATTTTTAAATCATAATTGCTACTAGCAAATCGCAATCCTAGCACTGGCGGAATATTGGTGTGGTCCTCACGGGCTACCTGGTGCCCGCGGGCAGCACGTTGGTGACCTCTGGTCTACAACCACCCTACAGGTACCACCGCAGTTGGTCCCACAACACAACAGCGAGGTGCCGAAAAGTGGTAGAATATCTAGCCATCTCTTTTTTATAATGCTTACCTTCCCTCGAGTGGTGGATAAACTGGAGCCTATCTCAATTGAATTGTGGGAGGGGCAGGGTACACCCTGAATTGGTCTCCAGGCAAACACAGTGCACATCTAGACATAGAACCAGTCACACTCACATGCAAACCTAGAACGGTGAGGTGGCTTCAATTAACAATGTTTTTGGAAGAAGGGAGGAGGCCAGAGAAAACAGAGAAAGCCCACATAAACACAGGGAGAACATGAACACTCCACACAGAAGGGCCAGAGCCCAGATTCAAACCCCCAATTTGAAAACTGTGAGGCAGATGTGCTCATCACTTGCTCACCATGCTGCCATTTGGTTCTTGTTTTGGTTCTAACAAACAGTGTCAAACCACGTTTCTTTTGCCTTTTGGTATTTAAAAAAAAAAAAAAAAACACTAACTCACGAGGGTGGATCTTCAGCAGTTGAATGTGTTTCTCCAGCTTCTTCCTGACACCTTCTTGACAACCATATTTTCCTAAAGTTCCATCATCCACCAGTAGAAAGTGGGAGTGGAAACTGTTCAGATCGGCTCTCTTGCTCAAAGGGTTCCCCAGTGGCTGGTAAGGCCTGAAAACCTGATGAATGAAGAGGAGGGGAAGAGGAAGGTGCGGTATGTCGTTATAATTCTCTTAACAAAGATTAAAATGTCAATACACACATCTCTTCCTATAAGGTCTGTGTTGTTGTCTATCACTCCCCAAGGTGTGACCCCAACTGTGTTCCTCTTCCTCAGGTTGTGGCCACCGAAGGTTTTCACTGCCTCACCCACATACTTGGACACACCTGGACAAGATGGCAAGAATGGTTGACTGCGCAGCAAACATACCATTCAAAATGTACTCAATATGAAATTTAACCAAGACAATACGCCAGATTGAAACAATGCATTATTTATGCATGGTTAATGTGATTCTACAGTAAGACTGTGGAAATGTACATATCTACACAAATATAGCAAATGTTACAACAAATAACGTGTTAATTTAGTACATTCAACTTGATACACAACAGCAAACAAAATCAGTTGTTTGGTTTTTTTTTAAATAAAAGGATAGTATAACGGCACAAATGAAAAGAAAAACACATTTTATCAAATAATTTACGGTGACATTTTTCACATTGACACATTTTTAATTACTTCTCTGAAACATGATAATATAAAGCAGCATTTTCGTGTGACATTATTATGTTTACATTATAAGTATTTAACTATGAAAATGCAATATTAAATTTCAAACATTTAAAAGAATTGTTAAATACATATGGAAACCCGGTTTATAGAATGTGAGTGATTTGGTTGTATTCTGAGTTTTACATTAGAAAAAAAATCTTGCACCCAACCGAACAAAAAAGTCAAAAAAAGTGCATGCTGGCATAGGCAGATGAACAAAGCTATATTGTGGACCAATTCAGTACAATTGGACGCCTGATATGTTATGGCACACGAGTTGAAGATCACTGGTATCGCAACCAGATGTCACAGAGAGTGTTTTTCTGCTTTTGAAATGACCACGATGTTGCCATGAAAACAGGCCTCATCCATTAGGAATGTAGACCATTTTGCCAAACTAACACTTACCAGTATTAATACCATCAGTAAGTATCCAAGCCCCTGTGCTGCGGGCTGCAGTGATCAGGCCTTTAGTGAAGGCTTGCTTGACTTTGGGGGTGAGGGTGAAGTTCTCAGATCCTCCATGGACAGAAAATAGGAGCTTTGGTCTATCCATCTGCCATTCCCTCAACATCAGTTGGAGCAGCGCCTCTGGCTTCGAGTCCACGGACACGCGCACAAACTATTAAGGAAACGTATGGAGATATGACAGAATGAGCTACTCGCTTGCCATCTTCACCAAAGTTTGAGATGCTCGATTCCATTTCATTTTGCTCATTGGAAACATGATGATCGTTTTGGTTAAACTACTGTATGTTGAAAGTCCAAACCTCTCCGGTCACTCTAGTAAAATCAGTAACAATGCTATGGAAGCCACTTTCCTGAATTCATGAGAACTGCGTAACTGCTGATGTCACGGTATGACCCAACATCACAACACTATTTGCTTTCATATTTTGTTCACTTCTCTCAGTCTGCAATTTTTTTTCAGATTCTGTGGGGCAGTATGCAGTAATAAAGACATAGGAGCAAAGGATCAATTTGAAGGTGCTGTAAAGTCAGGAACTACTCCAGCAAATCTTGACACACACTGACCCACTGCTCCTTCTGGTCATCTAACAAAAGATTGGGCACCATCTTGGCACACACCCACACATGCTCAGCTTCTCCACCAAAAAGGTCCATACTGACTCCCTGCTCAGACTCCAGCATCTCCACTATCATGCCTTCTAGCAATCTGTGACATAGGGCCATGCTCCACCTTCTTCGTATGTTGAAGAAAGCATGTCACAGACATGTCAAGCCATTTGGGAACTCTTTATTGTGAAGTTGTTTAGCTGCCAGCTCTTATTTCGCTGCTCTTTATTAATCCATCCATACATCCATTTTATGATCCACTTTATCCTCACAAGGGTAAGTGGGGGTGGGGGGGTGGGGAGGGGTTGCTGGAGCCTAACTGGTTACCCTAAACCCTAAACCAGTTGCCAGCCAATTGCAGGGCACTTTTTATTCATGTTTGAAGTATTCGCTGTGGTATTGCTTCCTTTTTTTGTCTTCTTTTTTTTTTTCAAGTTTTGTATAAAATAACTTACCTGTTTTGTCGGTCGCTACCTTATGCAAACTAAGTTGTTAGAGTAAAATATTTTGCAAATATATCTTAAATAACTGTCAATCAGGCGGCCCGGTGGACCAGTGGTTAGCGCGTTGACCTCACATTGCAGAGGCCCTGGGTTCGATCCCGGCTCTGGCCTTCCTGTGTGGAGTTTGCATGATCTCCCCGTGCCTGTGTGGGTATTCTCCGGGTGCTCAGGTTTCCTTCCACATTCCAAAAACATGCATGGCAGGCTGATTGAACACTCTAAATTGTCCCTAGTTATTCGGCTCTGTGTGCCCTGCAATTGGCTGGCAACCGGTTCAGGGTGTCCCCCACCTACTGCCTGAAGACAGCTGGGATCGGCTCCAGCACCCCCCGCGACCCTTGTGAGGACAAAGCGGATCGGAAAATGGATGGATGGATGGATGGATAACTGTCAATCTTTACATCATACAAAACTACGGTATGCCAATTGAGACGACTATACATCAACAAGAGTGGTCATGCAGTATCGTTTCTGACCGACAGAAAAAGTTGGTTGCACTAGTTCTACTTGTGCAAAACTCAGTGTTGAGCCTGGTGTCTCCTTTAAATCGGAATATAAGTGACAAGATGATAATATTGGCAGTTTCTCAATCGGCATTTATTCACACAATACATCTACTGGGGAACCCGGTCCAGGATCAACAGATTGCAATCACTGACCTTGGCCCGACAGCCACGTGTCGCACTGTCCTGAAAGTCGATGGTCCCATACGCATTGGTGGGACTGGCTCTAGTGTGTAGCTCCAAGGACCAGTCCTCTGGTAAATTATGTTCAGGATCAGGAAAGATGACTGTGGGGGGAGGTGCCTTTTGCCAAGAGTGTTCCGCCATTAGACGACCACAACAACACCTAGACAAAGAATATTCTTTATCAAAAATGAGATTAAGTGGTGGGGCAGTTAACCGTAAGGAGTTTGTAACATAAAGAATGTGTCATTTGACATTTGATGAAATACATGGAAGGTAAGAAAGTACACATTAAGACTCTAAAGGCAAAAACACATTATGTGTGTAACTGGAAATTGACTGGAATTGAGAGATACTGGATTGTGAGTTGCTGCATAACATTGTAATTACATACACATGCAGTTATTCTTAAATCGTACCTTATCAAGCTTTGGCAAACTTGACATACTGGAATGCATCTGGAAGAAATGGGACATTACATTGTTATCAAGTGGATCAAATGGTTCCTGTTCGTGAAAAGAATTCTGTGTGCCAAATCCACTTTTCTCTCCGGAAAAAAAATAGACTGCCACCTTCCCAAAATAATGGACTGAGCCAATTTTTAACCTTTTTCCCTGATTTCCATGATTTTGCCAAGGTGATGAACGATAGCCACATCGCTTGTACAGAGAATTGTTCAATCTTGGTATTGTGACCCTTTCAAGCCAAAAGTCACTTAATTCTTCTACACAATACAATAGACTAGATATTTATTTATACAGCACTTTCACAACAGATGAAGTTGTAAAAAAGCGCTTCACAGGACATTTAACATAAAATAACAATAATACAACAGAAGACATAAAAAGTGCGAGGTTGCAGTGATTGCTGTGCATCTTAGCGAGTTTCAATTTATTGATCCTGAAGGAAATATAAATGTACCTGTGTAGATCTCGGGAGGAGGGGATAAACTTCACACAATCTCTCTTGGAGAAGGTTTCCTCAATCCATGATTTATGTGACTGGAATATGGAAGGGGAATGTTAAATTTCATAAATACAGCTAACCGTAGTTCCGACAGACATTCTGCTACCTAGTCCAACTTGTGAGCCTAATCTTGGCCTTAGCTGTGAACAGCCTAAGACAAAACTGTGCAATAATCATGCTCTCGAGTCAGCGTCTTGATTAGGGAGGGAATTCATGAGAATTTAACCATTCTGATTTCATTGTCGATACTCATCGATCCGATTTCTTATCCATTCTCTTGAAGGAATTAAATTATACAAATGCTTTTGTTTGCTTGAACTCTTTAATATTTTCTACTTTAGACAGAAGATACAGCATATCCAGTACACATTCATATCCTCTAATACAGGGGTACCCAACCACCGGTCCGCGGACAGGTACCGGGCCTCAGCACATATGGGACGGGCCGCACTGAGGTAGCCCTGCGAACTGAGCAAATTTACTCACAGCCAAGAATTATGTACTGCAAAGGGCCTCACTCACGGCCCAGCGCCGCTAAAAGTATAAAAGTAAAAAACTCAACCTTTTTCTCTCTGCATTTCCATCCACTTCGTTAGCCGAATGAAACCCAAGCATGAGGTGATTTAAGCAGCTTCACCATTGGCCAAACTCTGGCTATTTTGGCAAAGTAGACGTGCATACAAACACAGATTCAGACCATTTTTTGGAAAAACTTATTTGACATTAATAGGTCTTTTGTGTATGTATATGAAAAGTTGGATGTTTGACTTCAGCTCACGAAAGCCATTTATATTTTGCATGTTCGATATACAACAGTTAGACACAGCAAAAAAATCTACTCGACAGCAGTATTTTCTTCATATTGCAGCCAGTTTCTCAAGGTCTCTCCGTCTCCTGAGTGAGCGGCATTTTGAGCAACAAAGGCCCGAGAGAAGTATTGATGGAAGGAAACAAACACACATCACATCCCTTTCCTGAGATTTGTATACATGTTTGTAATGGGTTCCTTCCCCAGCTGAGAAACACTGCAACCTTAAATTTGTGTTAAGAGGAAAACAACATTAATTCCATTCTCAGCCATGAACATAAATTAAAGGGGGAAAAAAACGTTTAGAAACATTCAGGATACTTAAGGACTCTCTGCATCAACAACCGCTTTTTTGTTCTTTGCCCAACACAAATGTTTGAGTCAAACAAGTAGAAGCACTGCAGCCTTCAAATGTTGAGTTACTTCATATCAACAAAAAAATGTGGAGAGAATTTATTTGGACTCTAATTATCCTGTAGCTAAAATTGTTTCACTAAGCACACTAACTCAATAGATTTGCATCTGAAAATGTAATGACAGGATTTTGCTTTATTTTTCCATTAGTTAGGGAGAGCCGAACTACAAATAAACAGCAAAATTATATGCGAGCTCTGCTCCATATATGCAATACTCCTAGTACTCAAATTAATACAGTATAGCAGTTTACTCAGCAACTCACCATAGTTGGAGGACTGTCGTTTGAGACGTGTTCATCCCACTTGTTGTCCCGCAGAGCGTCTTGAGTACGCCTTTAATAGTAGTAGAGTAGCCGATCAATGACAAGGGTGGCCCTGTTATCAGCCATTAGAGGTCCAAAGGGTAATTACTGAGTCTTTGAAAGAAAACTTGACAAGTTCGCGGTCCCGCCTTCAGACGCTTAGTAAACCTCTTTTCCTCCAGAGTAAAGTTCTCTTTTGGTTCCCCTCACCGCCCGCTTCAGGGGAGATCTTATCAAAGGATCTGCCCTACAGCGTGTGGGTGTTTTACCAAAAATGTGCGAGTTCGGAAAAAAATGCAATCAACTTACGCTGCATGTGTGTCCAGTGCGTTTTAACGTGTACACGCACGTAACCTAATCGAACCTTTGAACAGAGTCTCCAAGTTTAATTGGGAGGTCTTCAAACGATAAGCGCATAAATAATATTTGACAAATACGGCATGGCGACGCAGAAACACTGAAATTAATTACCCCAAAGCAACATTATTGACTTAGGTGAATTTACAATTGGTCAGTATGTTATCATGGAATTATTTATATATATATATATATATATATATATATATATGTGTGTCGGAATTTTCAGGAAAGTCCACTTTCATCTCTGGATATAAAAATAGAAGCCCAAAAACAAAAGGTTGCCTGTATTTAGATGTTGACCATGATTGTAACATGTCTCAAATAAGGTCAGAATGGAATTCCTGAAAGCCCTTTGGGCCGGGAGGTCCGAGCTGTGAAGTCAGCAAAAAAAAGTTTCCAAATTCACTCAAAAGAGAGGATCCCTATGGAGACCAAGGCTGTGAATGGCAAAACATCCTCCAACCTTCTATTTTCTGATCCGCTTCATCCTCACAAGGGTTGCGGGTGTACTGGAACCTATTGTTAAATGTAATTCTGTTATCCCATGTTTACTTTCAGTATAACTACAAAACCTTTGTTCCAGAGTTTGACTTCGTAAATACCTCATTTGCAATGGGGTAGGTTTAATAT